TCAGTCACGCTCGTCAAGAAAGTGAGTGAAACACACACAAACACACATTTTTATCAAATAATACGTCATTAATAGCGGTTCACTTACGTGATTTGGTACGATTGCGTTCACATCAGCAGCGAACCGTACCGGAGTTCACTTGAACCGTACCCCAGACCACCCTTTTTAAGCGGACTCGAGTACAGTTCGCGGGTGCGCACCAAAAGTGCTAGTGTGAAAGCACTCTCAGATACTCTGCTAAAAAACATTGGTTTTGATTATCATGTCTATCGCACTGAAATCATGCGTTTTAAAGCCATAACAGTTTAAACTTCTGATATACGGTGATATACAGCTGGAATAGAAATTGCATGTTTATATTAGATCGTGTATTAAAGGTGTAGCAGCGTAATATACAGTACTTATAACTGCTGTCTACGCTGATAATATGACCCAAACAATAAAATAAAAGCAGAGATCACTCTGCTCATCCAGAATAACATCTACAGCGTTAATAAAAAAACATTTCTTACTTGAATGCTGCTTTTAAATGTTCTAGCGTGAAGATAAACGTGGCGGATTGTGTGCGGCTCACTCCTGGCGGGGTCTCTGCTAATAGGGCACTGTCCGTCAACAGGGGCGGGGCTTGTAAAATGTGACATCATATTTTATGGATTCTGCGAACAGCTTGTTCTGAGAAACTGCTTATGATTTATGGGGATAAAAAAAGGAGCGGGCGGATTTTTATCATTATAGGGTGTTTGTGTACACATTCTGCCAACACACAATTATGTTTAAACAAGTAAAAGTGAATTTTGCATAATAGGTGTCCTATAAATTTGCGATAAATGCAGGATAACAAGCATTTTAAATATTAATTAATTAATTAATTAATTAATTAATTAATTAAAAAAAATTTTTACGACTGTTTTTAAAATATTAAGATATTTTTGCAGTGTAGAAGCAATTAAATGATAACATAGTTTAAAATAACTGTAAATATACATACAGTAGGCTTCAAAGGATGAGAGCACAAGTTAAACTTTTGATTAAAAAATTTAATAAATAAAATAGAACATACATTTTTAAAACTCATTTAACAACACAACATGTCTTTGTCTTATTTTTTTTCAAAATCCTAAAACTCTTTTTAAATTGAATGTTGATTCCCAAATTATCAGTGTTCTCAGACCTTTGCACCCCACTGTATAAAAACAACAGCATATGAAGAATAAAGCCTTATTGACAGTGACCTGCAGTGACAGTGTGCTTGTTCATTCATCCGACACACACACACACACACACACACCAAGATGAGCATAAAAAAGAAATGATCAAATCACTGTCCAAGAAACACACGCCAAGTCCCAATCCATAGGCCTAGCAGTGCCAGTGGCACCACCTGCCTAAATGACACGCTGTTGCCATAGATACGAGGAGTGGGGGCAAATACGGGCAGGCAGTTTATAGCTGGACACAACACATGGCACAAGCACAAAGCATTTCGGTCATATTTGAGACTCCATGTGCCTTAATCAGAGCGGCGCCGACACCACACACACACACCTACACAAACCCAGCAGCGCTCATTTCTCTTTCTCTCTCGCTCATCACCACTCAGACCGGCTCTTTCCCCTGATCTACGGCATCAAAGACAACAATCAGTAGAGTGAACTTAAAAAGCTCCGCACACACAGTGCGTCAGAGAGAGAGCAGGGCTTTTATATATTGACTGTGAGACCTTATGAAGCAGCCAATAACTTGCAGCCGTTTCTTAGAAACGTGACATTATAAAATAGGCACTGAATGGCCCCTGACCTGCTGTCAGGTTAGCGTTTGTGTGCGTGTCTGTTACCTGTTGGCCGTGGTAGAACACAGCTAAAAGGAACATCGCCATGAGAAGCAGAGACGTTTCCTTGGTTCCCAGGAAGCTTTTGCTGTAACCAGAAAAACAGGACAGAAAGTCTCATGAGTTCTGCAGCATGTTTATAATGTCCACAGTGCAGTTAGCTAAGAGAAACATCTGTCATAAATGTCATAAAGAGCCTTGATGATATAATCACAGTGTACACTGTTTGTCAAACACTTATATCTGTTATGAAAAAACGATTGGTTTGTAAAGGGGTCATGAACTGCATGAATTACTTTGTACTGTTCTCTGAGGTCCACTTTTGGTTTTTTTTACAACAAAAAACATAATTTAGAAGTAAAAGGCTATTTTCTATCCTGTTTTTAACCCCCCTCATCAGAACACTCTGTTTGAATAGGTGTGGCGGATTGTAGACTCAGAAGTAAATGCCCACTGCTATGATTGACTAATAGTTGTGTATGTTTGATAGCCTACATCCTTCATAGATGGACACTGCTGTGATAGGTTAAAATGCATAAATACTCAGTATATAGCAAACGATCGGTAAAAAAAGACAAAGCAATAGTGACCATGTAATAAAAACAGTTACTCACACTTGTGTGGTGGGACATTACTGTCGGATCCAATACAGCCGGAACAGCATTGTCTTTTAGTTTCAATCTTTCTGAAAATCCTGCGTCGAATTGTGCCTTGTTTGCAAACGAATCCACGGTAAAATGAAGTTCTTACTGACGTGGTCTGGCACTTCATTAAAAATAAAGTTCATCAAATAAAATGTATCGTTTGGTTTCTGCATAGACATGCGTTCGCCCCTCTCGTTATTTACACTACATGCGTGAATCGGTGGGTGGGGCTAAACAGGCAGTGATGTAGAAGCAGGCGTTGATCTTCTTCTGCGGAGGCAGTGCTTATCCATGCTATTAGATCATAGAGTAGCACATTCCACAAGGTGCCGTTTTGGCAGACTGGCTTCAATATAAGCTGTTTTTAAACTAACGAGAAAGTTTTGAGATTTGAAACTCACAGGATGTTTTTATAGCACAATGACCTCTTATATGTCAAAAGAGATTTTTCAGTTCATGAGTCCTTTAAGGTAGTACCTTGTTTAGGATTTGGTTCAGAGGCTTAGTTCTTGTTTACGGGTTGTATTTGGTAGTTGGTTTTATCCTTGTGATTTACAGTGTTCTCATTATAGGAGTAAATGTGGACCACAATGATGATAGCTATGGAGGACGGATTTTTAAAAAATTATAATAATTATTATTAATATTATATAAAATTTTTAATGTTTTTTAAAAAAGAAGCCTCTCGCTCACGAAGGCTGCATTTATTTGATCAAAAATACAGTATAAACAGTAATATTGTGAAATATTATTACAATTTAAAAGAACTCTTTTCTATTTTAAAATATTGTAAAATGTAATTTATTCCTGATGGCAAAGCTGAATTTTCATCATCATTACTCCAGTCTTCAGTGTCACATGATCATTCAGAAATCATTCTAATATGCTAATTTGGTGCTCAAGAAACATTTGTAATTATTATCAATGTTGAAAACAGTTGTGTTGCTTAATATTTTTGTGGAAACTATTTTTTCATAATCTTTTGACTAACATGAAGTTCAAAAGAACAGCATTTATTTGATATACAAATCTTTTGTAACATTGTAAATGTCTTTATCTCGATTTAATACAGCCTTGCTGAAAAAAAAAACATACTGATCCAAACTTTTGGCAGTGTATGTGGGCGGTAACAGAAGTGTATGTGCATGTCATCAGACAGCAAAATTGCAACCCTTCCAGGGTTTAAACCTATAAACTTACAGCTGCCAAACTACATTTTTGACCACCAGGCCACACCACCCACATTTACTTTCTGGTTTAGAGTTTGAGGTGTCCTTTGGCGGAAGACAGAAATTTATGACTGGCTGACGTCAATCATAAAACATGCAGAAATCTATTAAAGCACGCGCAGTCTGCTACTTTAGAAACAGCATGACATTTATTGCTCTTATAGTTGGTCCACGTCATCTTACGAACTTGCTTGAGTCATCACACTTACGTCCATACTGTTAAAGTGTGATGTATAATTTTTGCTCTTTATAATTTATTCCTTAATGGCTCCTGAATGGCACAATGTGGGAGTTTGCATACCTCTGATTAAGTGTAAGTGTGTCATAGCGGATGAACAGTGGCGTGTAGAAGGCCTCGGTCAGCACTGCGTAGATAGCGATCATGATCAGCAGGATGGCCAGCTTCAGAACCGAGTTCAGTCTGAGAAACACTGCACACGTCACCATCGCCAACACTCCAGTAAACACGAAATACTGTCAATAAACGGGCAGACAACCTCAACATTAGCAACCCATCGCTCTATGTACAGTGAATGAACTGATTTGAAACAGTTTACACATTTGCTAGAATTCTATCAATCCTTTTAACAGACTGAAACTGGCAAGAAGCTGTGGGTCTGATTGTGTGGGAGGCAGTGGATGAAAAGACCTCTGGGTAGAAGCAGATATCGGGGATTGAGGCAGATGCATTAAACGTCTGGTTCCTGAATGAGCCGGATTTATCGAAATCACACCAAAGCTACGATAAAAGAGAAAGAGAGTGCTAATGTTAGAGAATTGATTGTATTTGAGAATTAATCTGTATAAAGAGCAATATAATTACATTTCCAAGAACTTTCTAGCTATAGGTTTATGTAACTGAAAGATGGCTGATATAATATTCTACTGAAAGCAGAAACTGATAATATTCTATTAAAATAAATTAAAAATATAAAAAAAATTAAGATAAAATGTTTTAAATATAATTTAGGCATCACAACATTATAAAATACAGTATGAAAAACTGATGTTTATTTTGAAATTTGATAAAGATGAATAACTGACTTTAAGTGTTTTTAAAGATCAACTTGATGATGGAAAGTTATTAAATAATAAAAAAAAAAATCCACATTAAATATAGACTAATACAATGCATTTGAAAAAATTGCTAATATCAGCCAATAACCAATATGATATTGATATGAGTCAAAATCTGCTAAAGGGCAATGATGGAACAATAGTTTTTAATGATTTTACACTATTATTTACAACAGGATCTGTATTTTCATTGGTTTAAATAAAAGATTTTTGTTATAAGAGACCATAAAAATAACTTTGTGCATCAAAACCTCTCCTGGTAAAATAAAAAAAAATAAAAAAAAGTGAACTTGATTTTCGAAGTCAACGAATTTGCGACAGCTAAATTTTAATTAAAATTTTTAAAAAATTGACAAGCCAAAGCTGTCAGTCTCTGAGTGACGTAATTTATTTAGGCCATGAAATAAAATTAATTGCAAAATGCAAAAAGCATTTTGAACATTTTATAATACCCAAAAAAGATTTGCTAGATTTAATTACCCGTTTGCAGATTTTGAGCTATGCATTGTGCAATCCTTTGTCACTAGATTCTATAATGAAAATAAATTAATATATACTCCACAGTGGGACTATTATTCTTGAGTTGAAATTGGTTCAGCTCACAAATTAAAACTTTATATATCCACGATAACATTTGCAAGAGTATAATGATGAAATTACAAATACAATAAAAAATGTTTGCTCACTATGTTGATCATGGCAGCCAGGAAGTTGATGAGGATGGAGAGGAAGATGACGACGTTCCGTGCAGCGTACGTTTCGTTCACCCAGCAACATGCTTTTCGCAAAACCAGAGGCAAACACTTATAATCCTCCGCCGTTGTCACAACAACAAGGCAACAGTGCAGCAAGATGAGGACGGAGAACTGTATCACCATAGTGACCATCCTACAAACATGAGCGATCGCATATTATATGATGCTCTCGTGGGAGTAATCGAATATTCGAGACTGGTGTGGATTAAATTTAATTGAAAAAGCCACATCGAACACTATAGGAAATATTAATCCATGGCTTCTATATGCAGTATAAACACAAACAGATCATGTGTCAACCTCAATGTCTGTGGTGGTCATGGCCATCAGTATATCTACATGTTTTACCTTGCAGAGGGAAGTAAGCTCTGTATTCCAGTGATGAAGAAGAGAACAATGAAGGCACACACAAGATTAGACTTAAACACCTCGTCTCGCATCTGGGAATACTGTAGAGGAAACACACACACACACAGAAAAGTAAGGACAAAAATTCCTCTTCACATGACGACCACAATGACACCATGAAAGCAATGCTAACCACATAGGAAAGAGCAGGGTAGGTGCTCATAAACACACATACACACAACTCCTGTGCTCTCTGGGTTAGTGAGAGGACGTGTGATGTCAGGGCATCATGGAGGCAGGGCAAACCAAGAATCTCAAGCACAGAGAGTGGCACAGAGTCAAAGGCCAAGCAGGGGGCAAAGGTCAACTCAAACGAGCAGAAATGAGGTAAGGGACAAATAAACAGAATAAAAAGCATTTTTAACTAAGATGAAAACATGCATGGTAGCGGATCATGAGTAACCCGAAGGCCCGTCTGTGGGCAAATCCCGGTTGTTCAGGAAGAATTAACGTTCATCAGAGATGGTGATTAAAACCAATCAATTTGGAGACTAATCCAATCGGCTAAATTCATTATCCTAAGTGTTGATTTAAATTCACTCTCTTTTTCTTTGTCAGAACCTGCTGATCAGATCAGGAAACAACCTTCTTGTCAGACTAATGGCCAGAGCGACTCTCAAGTTAAAGGGTTAGTTCTCCCAAAAAATGAAAATTCTGTCATTAATTACTCACCCTCATGTCATTTCAAACCTGTAAGACCTTTGTTCATCTTTGGAACAAAAATTAAGATATTTCAATATCTTCGTCGTTCAAGGCCTAGAAATGACACATACATTGTACACATACATTGACTGACGTGGAAGAGAAGAAATCATTGAATAAAGTTATTTGTTTTCTTTTCACACAAAAAGTATTCTCGTAGCTTCATAAAATTATGGTTGAACCACTGATGTCACATGGACCATTTTAACGATGTCCTTACTACCTTTCTGGGTCTGGGAACATTTCGGTTGCGTTGCTGTCTATGCAGGGTCAGAAAGCTCTCAGATGTCATCAAAAGTATCTTAATTTGTGTTTGGAAGATGAACGAAGGTCTTATGGGTTTGGAACGACATGAGGGTGAGTAATTAATGACAGAATTTTAATTTTTGGGTGAACTATCCCTTTAACAGCTCAAGAACTGTAGCACAATTCATGAATGAAACATTCAGACCATGTCATAAAAACAATCTTTTTGGAGTTTTTTAATCATTTTTGGAGCTGTGGTCACTATATATGAACTGTCATTGAATAACTTGAAGACTCTTCAAAATATAACATTTTTCGTTCCACAGAAGAAAGCCTGATAGTGAAAATAATAACAGAATTGTGTTTTGGGGAGAACTATCCATTCAAGTGATCTTAAAAGTAAATTGCATTGTAGTGGTGTCAGAAGTGTCATCGCTCCTGCTAGAAAGCCCAAATAAAACTGGTGGCAGATGGTTTCTGGGACCATTAATTTGGTGCAAATTGCTCTAGATAGATGGTCCATCTGGTTGACCATCTTGGACCAACGAGAAAACAGCAACCATGCTCTAAAAACAGCTGGACCACCTTAACTTGTTTTTTTTTTCGGATGGGATATAGTAATTGAGAACATTTTAAACCGCTGTGCATGTTCTAGAAAGTATCGACTGCTGTTGCTGGCACATAACGTCCTTTAGTTTACTCATGACAAAAACACTCTCTCGCCTCCTTCTCTTGCACCTCCAAAACAAAAATAAAGCAAAAAAGAGAGAGTGAGAGAGCAGAGAGGGAGGACAGGATGGCTGGAAGGTGGGAGCAGGCTACCTTGTGCTCCAGCAGTGCTTCTCTAAAGGTGAGAGAGAAGGGGGAGATATGTTCTTGGCGGAGCTTGTCCCCGCTGCGCAGGGCGATGGTGCTCTGCATGCGAGCGTTAATTTCCTGTGAGCCGGCGCGCACATGCAGGGCTTGAGCCAGGTGGTTGGGGAGCAGGTTAATGGAGTGACGTGTGAGCGCAGCCAGAGTCTACAGAGGAGAAGCACATGCAGCGCCCATGAGTCTGAGAGTGTTTGTTCGTGTGTGTGTGTGTGTGTGTGTGTTGGTGTGTATCTGTTCATTCAAGAGCTCTGCTCAACATGAATGTATGACAATCAAAGAAACATTAGAAAAGGATTGCACAAACACATGCACGATTACTTATCTAATGTAGGACAAATGACAGACTTCTAATTTTTTATATAAGGTTATTATAATTAAATATGTATCAACCCAAACTCTGTGCCTAAAAGAAAACTTTTGCATTATTTAATTTTTGAACTGTTTCCCCACATACAGCATCCCCAATGGTGGTTTTGCCAGATTTAGTTCACTTCTCATGACAATTTTGTCCCCAAACGACAGCTAAGTACGTACGCACACACACACACACACATAACACTTGCACATAACATGATTATTTTTTGTACAGCGAATGCTCTGGACTGTAAGTAATAGGCTTTTCTAACTACCTACAGCTCAGCCCATCTTTTAGAGTGGATCTAGAAAATCAACACACTATTGCAATGTCTAATAATTCCACTGCCTTAATGCCGGAAAGCCGGACCTTTTATATCAGATATTTTAAGATTCAAAATATGAGGCTGTTCCAGTTAGTTCTCTCTGCTGGAAAATCCAGTTAAAACCAGGTTTATTGCTGATTTTTCACGGTTTATATATGGTCTATGGTTGATTGATGGTGGTAGACCACCTTGGGTAAGGAAAGAACCCTTTATCATGTGCTGAAAACACCACATTGTGTTGATATTACCTATTCAAGCTATTTTCAGCAACCTTTGGTGGTCAAAATTGTTAGAACACTTGGCATATTTAAGAGGTTTCAGTTTTTGTTGAACTGGCCATTATAATATCCATAAAACGAACTATTGCCTGAACTAAGTGCGATGGAAGAAATCTGCTGGAACATTGAAAATGATGGACTTGCCCCCTCAAAATCTGGACCTCAACCCCACTGAGCAAATTTGGGGCGAGTTGGAAAATAAACTGGACAGATCTATTGTACATTCAAAGGAAAGCCTTTGGCTTGAGTTGCAGAAGGCATGGGATAACATTAGTGTTGAAATTCTCAGAAAATACTGTATATTGTCACTATGCCAGAGAGATGTGCTGCTGTAATTGCTGCAAAAGGTGGGCATGCCAAATATTAAAGTGGAAAAGTGGATAAAAACAGTACGACTCACTTCATCTGATATTTGTTGTGCTCAGAGCAACCATCTGCATGTTTCATGAACATTATGAAATGAAATCATGTTTTGGAGGCAAAAAAGGGTCAATATTTTCAGATCTGTCAGGTGTTCTAACAATTTTGGCCATCACTGTATATCATCCAATGTCAACTGATCCAAATCCAATACCAAGACAAGACTGTGTCACATATATGCTTCGAATATAAACAGCTTGGTTGATAATAATGTGAGCAATTTAGCTTGGCTAATAAAATAAAAACTATTAAATAAAAAATAAAAAGATAATGTCACTTTTATTTTAAAATGTTTAAATTATGCAACATTTGGAGGTTGAATTTCCAGAAAAAGTAACTATATCATGATATAAACTTTATCACACTATGACACAGGATTTTGTTCATGCAGCTCACCTCTAGTAAACACTTGTACAATATGAGGTGACACACAAGATTTCAATAGCTCAGAGGTTCATATGAGGATAGAGGTTAAACAAAAATATCACTCGCCTTAAACACACTGTACAACATCAGGACACAAATGAAAAATGGCATGAACAGGACCTGGCTAAGTTCAGGCCACTCAGCTAAAGCTGATGACTGTACAGGGAAAGGGAGGCAACCTTACATGAACTGCAAAATGTTACCTCAGACTGGTTATACCATGGCTCTGTTCCAAATTCTAGTTTTTTTATACTGTTTACATGAGACATCCTAAGTGGTCCCACATGGGCAGCAACGCCCATGCAAACAAACTCACACACCCAAGCAAACAGTGCGCCACACGTAAAGTGAGACTTGACTAATGCAAGTGTCTAACTAGTTAATTCAGCTGACTAATGTGTCTTCCAAACAAAAGAGGGCAAAATGCTATTAAAACAGAGTATGATATTTGCAAGTTGCTAAGCTAAACACTCAATACTTCAATAAGCACAAAAATATTGCACAATAAAATCGTCATGTTTCTTAACAGAACTGAATAAAATGTGTATTTTTTATAATCTACTGAACATGTCCCTTGAATGGTGGCTCTTGCTTATTCATAAAACCCATTTGTAAGATGCTTTGTTCAAACCTGACAGAATCAGCCAACCTGTTTCAAGACGGCTGTTTTAAAACCATCATGCTGTCAAAAGTGATTACATGGAAGAATGGGAGAAGACCTCCATGTGTGTGGGTCACCAAACACATTTCTTTACAGCAAACCCAGTAACAACCATATATATCACATATGTGACCCTGGACCACAAAACCAGTCTTAAGTCGCTGGGGTATATTTGTAGCAATAGCCAAAAATATTGGCTGAAACAGTTCTACGCCGCCATCATTGAATCTGTCCTCTGCACTTCTATAACTGTCTGGTTCAGCTCAGCTACCAAATCTGACCTCAGAAGACTACAGAGGGTAGTCCGGACTGCTGAGCGAATCATTGGTACAACCCTCCCTTCTCTCCAAGAACTGTACTCATCCAGAGTGAGCAAAAGGGCTGGCAAAATCACTCTGGACCCCTCACATCCAGCACACTCACTCTTTGAACTGTTGCCATCTGGTCAACGCTACAGAGCCCTGATAGTAATATGCATTGCTAAGACTTCATTTGGATGATTTTAAAGGCGATTTTCTCAATATTTTTAATTTTTTGCACCCTCAGATTCCAGATTTTCAAATAGTTGTATCTCGGCCAAATATTGTCCTATCCTAACAAACCATACATCAATGGAAAGCTTATTTATTCAGCTTTCAGATGATGTATAGATCTCAATTTCGAAAAATTGACCCTTATGACTGGTTTTGTGGTCCAGGATCACATATGTGAACTGGAAGTAAAATTAAATATTTTTTTCTCTCTCCATCACAGTGTAGGCATGTGTTGTATTGTATTTGAGCGTGATTAACAGCGGAAATGTCAGCACAAGGGTGGAGGTCAAATTGAAGGATGACTTGGAGAGGATATTGTATAAACAGGATCTGACACAGACGTTTGATTTTGTTTTGACCGCTGAAAGTATCTTTAAAGAGGACTATCATCTGTGCCGTGAGCTGGAGCTGTGGTCACTGTGAGCCGTGAGTCATCTAGAGAAACACTAGAATTACAAAACTCGCACACAGACTGACTCTCATACATACACAATGAATGATCCACACACAACATACATAGACAAGGTGCTGTTTTACCCAAAAATTCATAATATACATACTGTATACTTTCTTTTCTCATTTTCTGGTCTGTGGAAGAAAAAAAGTCTTATGGGTTTGCTTATGGTACATGGGTGAGTAAATGGAGAAATGTTTAGGTGAAATATCCTGGCGTTTGTTTTAAAACAAGACATAATAAAACATTTCACAAAAACATGCTTGCTTGTTTTAAATGATAAAACTAGATATAATGGAAACAAATTTTCAAATTACATTCACTGAAATAACAATAAAAATTTTACAAATTATAGCAAATTTTCAAATCATTTTTTGGGCCCTGTATATGGACTTTTCATTCATCAGATGTTAGTTCTACAACAGTGTTTGCTCATGTGTGTAATCGGAATTATATTAACTGATGTGGGCAAATCTGCTGAGATTAGGCACTGTTAATCTACTGTTAGCACTGGGATTTCCACTGAAAGAGTTTTTAAATACAGATGTGTGTGAGAGGTGTATGACTGCCATGAGTGCACTGAGAAAACATTCAATAAATGTTCTTTTAACAAGTAAAAGGAATGAAAATTGACAATATCTTATGGCCTTGAAGACCTGAAGGGACTTTTGACAAGTTCTTCTATATTCAATAAGAGTTATTCTCTCTAGCAATTGCAGAGAAGAGTTCTGACTTGGACACAGTATTAAGCCGCTTAACACTGTTCCTTACACAAGGTTGTACAGCAATGCTAAAAACAACAATACACAAATGAAAAGTAACATAAAGCAATGTTCAAATATTTGGGGTTAATAAATTTGCATTAAATTGATCAAAAGTGATGACTTCCACTTTAAAAAAAAAAAAAAGTAAAATAAAAGTTCAAAACTAGCACTCTCTATTTCTATTATATCTACTTGTTTTTTTATTTATTAAAAAAACTGACCCTCTAACACTAGCATTCTCTATTCTTTTTCTATTCTATCTACTTGTTTTCTTTTTTATTTATTATTACAAAAAACTTTTATTCATCAAATAACCCTAATATTAAGATCAAGCAGCCCAACTGTTTTCAATAATGATAATATTAAGAAATGTGTCTGTGGCACTGAAGACTGGAGTAATGGCTGATGAAAATTAATCTTTGCCATCACAAGAATAAATTACACTTTAATTACATATTAAAATACAAAGCAGTTATTTTCCTATTGTAGTAATATTTCACAATATTAGTGTTTTCACTGTTTTTCTTATCTAATAAATGCAGCCTTGGTGAGAATAAGAAATGTCCTTCAAAAACATTTTAAAAATCTTACTGAATGGATTTCAATTTAATAAATTAATTTAATACAATTATGATTAATCATGCCCCTTAATGCGTCAAATTATACTTTTAGAGTGAGTAAAGAGTGATTTACATTCATTAGCCTCATGCTCATTTCTCTTCCAACAACTATCAAAAATTGCTCCTGCACTTCAATTCAGATGAATGCAAGGTTTACTTTTCAATCTCACTGTGAACAGATTAGCAACACCGCTTTTTTTCAATCAAGCTGAATATGACTTTTATCCTGACTAAGGTGTTTGCATCAATGTTTTCTATTCTGGTTGAGGTATTAGTCAGATAATGAACTGAATGAAACTGAAAAAATCTGGGTGGAGTAGAAGAGATGGAAAAGCTTCTGGGTGGAGAATCAATTTGAGTTCTCCTCAATAATCCCAAAGGTGGAGAAAAAGATTTTGAGAGCTCTGATGCTTTTCAGAGTAGCAAAGCTTCCCGGAATTGCTTATGGGATGGAGTTTAAATGGCTTTTAATAGTGTGGTCAGATGGTAGAAGTCATGGGCAGGGCTCCAGACAAAAAAAAATCACTTAAGGCTCCTATAAGAAACAAAACTAGACGCCACATTGTTTTTTTAAGTGCCACAAAATAAATGTGTTTTCTCTCTTTGTTTTTAACCACTTTTTCAGTCATACTAGTCATTCGTTTATGTCTCTCCTCCTTTTACAGCATTAGCATTTTAATCCATCTTGTAGATGTCCTGGGAACTAAGGTTCACTTTTAAGGACACTGCTTCTCTGCACTTCTCCGTCATTTTCGATCTCTCTTGCCGCTACAACTGGAGCTGCTTTTAGCAGTTGTGCCGTCAACGCTGGTGTTCGGCAGAAATGAGGACTGTTTGAAAGTGTTTTTTCCTCTAAAACTTTCATGTGCAAAACAAGTAGGAAAAAAGGCATTAACAAGCAAATTAAGTCATAACCTGTAAATTTATATAGTCGCCAGTGGCGAACTCAGCAAAAATATCACTCGCAAATTAATATTTTTGGTCGCAAATGGTACCGTTTTAGGTGCAGTCTGGAGCCCTGATGGGTCAGGGATACTACGATAAAAGAAGAGACTCTCTCTTCTTCTGTAAAGTCTTTGGCTCTACCAACATGGAGGGGCTCCAATAAACAAATACCTGGTTAGTAATATATTTCAGTAATATACAGCTTTAAACCTGGAGAGCACAAAAATTACTTTCAGTAGTTCTCTCAAAATTTTGATCCGTTTTTTGATCTAGATTTATTTATTGATTTTGGAACACAGGCATTGCAGAGGTTTTTTGGCTGATCAATAGTAAATGCTTTCACTACCAAATACAAAAGACAAGGTCTCTGTTAAACTCCAAAAAGAAATACTCTCAGGTTGCAGTGTTTATATGCATGCGTGTGTATGTTTTTGAGTCCACACAAATTACACACAAAAACACAAGGACTGAGACACTAAATCCATTAACAGAACCACCCTTCGGCAGAACACACACCCAAACTAAAACACACAATCACTCACTCACACACACACACACACACTGTGGCTGCAATGCGTCACTGAGGACAAAGCCTGAACAGGGAGACGGAGAAGAGAGTGGGAAAGGATGTGAGATAAAGGAGAAGAAAAGAACAGCAGATGAAAGAGGAGAGAGAGAGAGGGAGGGATAAACGGAGTGTGAAGGAGAAAAAGAATCCTGTTACTGCCTTACAGACATTCCTGTTGTCATGGAGACCAGCCCTATAATCTTACATACACACATGAACATGTCAGCATACTTCTGTTTGAACACATCTGGAATAGCTCAGACATACACACACACTCGTCTAATTAATGTGAAGGCTTGTGCACTCAGCTGATGTGTAATTGGCTGGTTGCCCTGCCAGTCATACAGTGAGAGCTCTTTGATGTGTTAAGATGACTGCATGACAAAGGCAACAAAAGCGCCGCATTAATCAAAGACAACATTCCCTTATGTTAACCACGTCTCCATAGCAACAGCCTGGCAACTCGGCGCACACCAAGAGAGAGTTCTGCATCATAATCAGCAGCACATGCCACAGAAACCTTCTAGAACATTGTTGTGAGCCATTCAACCCTGAGAACCCTCCAGAACAGTGCCCGCCCTACAGGCTAGAGAACCCCTCCAAAACACTGTCCACGTCTTGCAACCTTGACAATCCACAAGAATGTTGTCTTTACCCTACAGCCTTGTAAAAACTCTAAAACCGAGGTGTGAAACTCAGCTCCTGGAGGGCCACTGTCCTGCAGAGTTTCGCTCCAACCCTAAATTTACTCACCTGATCAAGCTAATCAAGGTCTTAGGAGTGCTAGAAACTTCCAGGCAGGTGTGTTGGAGCTGGATGGAGCTAAACTCTTCAGGAAAGTGGACCTTCAGCTGCTAAGTTTGACAACTCTGCTCTAAAACACTGTCCCTTCCTTACAACTTTGAGAATCAGCTAGAACAGTCCTTACAGCACAAGTTTGAAAAGCAGCTGAAATTATCCTCCTGCCTTACTTGAGAACCCTCCAGAACCCTGTCCCCATCTTAAAGTCTAAAGCACTCAAAAACATTGTGCATAGTCTACATCTTCGAGAACCCTATAGAATACTGTCACTACCCTACAGCTTTGAGAACCATTTAGAACACTATTTACCTTAAAGCCTTATTGGAACATTGATCCCGTCAACAGCCCTAAGAACCCACTTGAATGCTGGCCCTACGTCTCAACATTGAGAACCCTTTAGAAAACTATCCTCATCTTACAGCCTCGAAAATCCACTAGAATACTGTTCGCTGGAACTCTGTTCCCATCCTACAGCCCTGACAATCCACTAGAACATTATTCTTACCCTTAATCCTTGAGAACTCACTGGAACTCTGTTTCCAGCCTTGAGAGCCCACACAAAAACTGTCCTTACCCTATAGCCTTGAGAACACTAAGAATCAGTTAGAACATATTCCTTATGAAACAAATTTGAAAACCACATTGACAATGTGAACCCTCCAGAAATCTGTCCATACCCTAAAGTCTCGACAATCCATTAAAACATATTTCCTGCCCTACAGTTTTGAGAACCCTCTAGTACACTGTCTTTACACTATATTCTTGAGAACCCGTTACACCATTGTTTTTACCCTTCAACCATGAAAACCCTTTACACCTTTGTCTTTACCCCACAATCTTGAAAACCAAAACCAGGTTCCCAGGAGCAGGGTTGAAAACTTATGTTCTAGAACCTTCTTTCTACAGCCTTAGAAACTTATCATCTATTTTTAATAGCCCTTTAGAATCCTTTAAAAATTGTCCTCAACCAACAGTCTAGATGGCCTTGTAGAACACTATCCTTCACCCTACAGCCCTGAGACCTTCTAGAATAGAGCACTATACCTGTCCAACAGCACTCAAAAAACATGAGCCATGCTAAAGAGATCTAGAGACTTCTGCTTGTACACTGCTTTTTCATGGCATGTTACATTAACATTGAGGCAGGAAAACTGTTCTAAAGGATTCCCAAACCTGCATGCCAGAAACAGTGTTTTCAGAGTATATATTCACATTTGAACCTTCCTTGGGGAGCTACCGTCGCTGAGTAGTTGTCTAGATTTCTAACTTCAGTGTAATTACTGATCTACTGGGTGTAGAACATCTAAAATCTTAAATTAGAATCTTCATGTAAAGAAGAACATTTAGGGGCCGTTCACACAGAATACATTTCTGCATCTAAAAAAACATAAGCAGGGCAGAGGAATGGAAAAATAGTCTCCAGACACATTTTGTATTTCATTTTGAACTTGCCATGTTTTTAGAATGCTGTGTAATGTGCAAGTTACTGCAAGAGATGCAAGACACAAACGGAACGGTCAAAGATGTCCGTCTAATGCATATTTACAGAGAAAATCAATGGATAAGGCAGCACAGTGGAATGCAAAAACATTTTCCGTGAATGGCACTTTACAAGCCGACTTACAGACCAGATCGCCATATAGGTTATGAAGTACCTACACACAACTATCCAGAACAAACCAACCATGCAGGAGGAACATGAAAGAAAACAGAGAGATGTGAAAATAAATCAGAAGCTCACACTGAAATGAAAGACAGGTACAGTGAACAGATACAGAGCCTCAATTTAAGCTCCATTTGCCTGCTGTGTGTGTGAGGTTCAGAATTGCTGAGGTTGCATTAATGCGTGTTTTCTTAACTGTGGTTGTTTGCTTGTGTGTGTTTTGCACTCACATTCTGTTTGCCCACTATGTTATGAAAGGGAAGTTCAGGGCTCCATGTTCCCTCCGTGAAGGAAGTGTTAGAGGGTCTGTGATCTGATTGGTTGGTGGAATCTCTCATGATGTCCTCCGGCAGCGTGAGTAAGCTCTCCTCTGGCTGCTTGATCAGGAAAGTCTCAATGTTATGCCTGCGCAGGAAATCATTGCGGTCCTTACCGTGACCCTCCTCCACCTCATAATCGCCGTTCAGACAGTCTAGAGCCGCTTTAGAGATGTGGATCCTCCTGAGGGGGTCGAAATGAACTACAGATTCATCTCACACATCCAAAACAAAACAAAAAAAATTTTTTTACATTCGCATGAGATGGTTTTTCGGGCAATTTCGAAAAGGAAATATTTCACAAAACTGCATTGGAAACAGTTTTTTTTTTGCATTTACAGGTCACCTGATGTACGTAAAAATCACATGATCACTCTTTATATTGTACTATAACCTTCAAGAAACCCTTCATACATGGCCGCTCTTATGTATTAGGGGCTTTCCTTGCTATAAATGCTTGGACACGTCTGTGGTGCATCACGGCTCTGACATGGCAATATTAATCGTTTGAATAAAAATAATGGATAGTGTGGTGGCTGCTAGTGAATGGCTTAAATTTTGGTCTGTTCACCACAAAAACTTATAGTATGGTTTCAGAAGATGTGAAATATTGTGCATGAGTCATAGGGATCACTTTTAAGATGCTTTTTGTCATTTTGGAGCTTGAATGACCCCATTCTTTACTCACATTCATTAAAACATTGGAAAATCTTCTGAAATGTTTTGTGTTCCATGCAAAGAAGAAAGAGGTACAGGTTTTGAAAGCTATGCATCTGCGAAAACAATGTTAATTTAGTACTTGCATGTGTCTCCTGAGCACTAGGCTATTATATCCACACTCATTTTATAGATATATAACTCTACTATGTCGACACGTCTCATTTGTGTCTATTTAAGCAATAAAATTTCTCAGCAATCTGGTCAATAACCTGAGCAATAAAATCTTGCTCTTGGAACATTACATGCTTACTGAAACCCTGAATCACTTATTTAGTGTTGGCTGGCAGTATAAAACATGAAATGTTTCATTACCTGATGGTTTTGATCATGCTGAGGCCCATCTCAACACAGCAGTGGGCATGATCCGGTCGAGGCTCGGGAAGGCCAGAAACACAATAATAACAATCCCCTAGTATCTTGATCCTCAGGCAATGATGCTCCTGAGAGGAAAAGGAGAAGACATTTTTACATTTAGTATGATAAACTGTTGACAATATTTTTATTTAATACAATTGAATCAATCAAAATACATCAAGTTATCCCAATAAAAGTAATTAAGGGAAAGATTAGGTAGAAATAGCTGCTAAGTAACAATTGCACAGTTTCGCATTTTACAGTGTGAGAGGGATATATGAGGGTTTGAGCATTTATAACCGTAATTGCCCTATAATTTCCACTGCAGTCTCTATCTGTTCTGGTTATCTCTTAGCCTGCCAGGTTTTTGTGTAGAGCTCAGAGAGGGTGGTAATTAAGGCCGCCACTCACTCATTCGGTCTCTCTGAGATCCATTACTCATGCCTACTGCCATATTAACATCTTTTCACAGCTCAGTAAATGGCTGTATGGAAACAAAGAGTCGTTACGTCCGTAACTGTCAATTGTCAATCGCTAAAAACACCACCTACAGCTTGATTAGCTCTGGACTGGCTCATGATAGCATGTTTGAAGCACTAGTGCTAATCTGCAGGCTAAGTGAATGCCTTTTGCATAATCAATACCAAACGGTGGGCCAATTTAATGGATATAAACACAGAAACTATAGCATTAAATGCTAGTGTAACAACACACTCCATACTCAAAACATCAACATTACGTAATGTCACTAATAAAGAACCCAATAAATTCGAACTTGAACCTGCTCTTAGTTGGATTGAGCCTTACAGAAAAAGTACTGTGGTAATATATTGATGGTGTCAGATGGTAATACCATGGTATTTTTATATACACACAACTCTTCAAAAGTTTTTGAAAAAAGGTCTCTTATGCTCACAAAGGTGCATTTATTTGATCAAAAATACAAAAAAAACAGTAGCATTCTGATCATTTTGAAGTATTTTAAAATGTAATTTATTCCTGTGATGGTGAAGCTTATAAGCAGTCATTACTCCAGTCTTCAGTGTCACATGATCCTTCAGAAATCATTCTCATATTCTGATTTGCTGCTCAAGAAAAATTTCTGATTGTTATAAATGCTTTAAAACTGCTGTGCTGCTTAATATTTTTGTGGAAACTGTGATACTTTAAGATTCTCTGAATAGAAAATTCAAAAGAACACCATTTATTTAAAATAGAAATTCTAAGGCATTATAAATGTCTTTACTGTCAACTTTGATCAATTTAATGCACACTTATTAAATAAAATGTTTGAATGGTAGTGTACCATTAGTAGCAAATAATGACCATGCTCATATTATTCATAGATTTCTGTAGGTCAAATGCTAGATCATGCTGCTAGCAACATCAAGGTCATGGATTAGTTTCCAAGGGAACAGACATAGTGATAACATAATATGGTACTCCAATATACAGTAATTCATTGAATGTCATGGCATAACCAGGGTATATGTTCAGAAACATGGTATTTCCGTGGCACAAGTTTAAAAAATATACCAACTTTTGTCAGATGTTTAGTGTTTCTATATATACATTATATCACTCATTTAGATCATATGTCAAGTAACGAAATGGTTAATATACATTTCCCATTAGGCAATGTGAGGCCACAGAAGAAGAATAAAGAGCTAGGGAGAGACAGACAGCAAGAGAGCGAGAACGATTTTTGGAAGATAATGCTGCTGACAGGATCTTCGGAGTTCAAAGTGTTGTCAAGATGTGGCATGACGCAAGCAATCAAAACCATTACATCTGTAAATGTTGAACATGACAGCTCAACTGCACAGTTAACCAGCACAGCACTAACCACACACATGTGACATCTCTAAATAAACATTGCCATCGGGAAAGAAAATGAATACTGCTCATCACGATAAACACTGCTGCAGAATTTAATACACCAGGCCTGCTCACATGAGTGCGACGGCAGATTCACACAAACATGCGCAAGGACACGAGGATATTTAAATATGACATACTGATACAACCATCTGCAAGCACACATATGCCACATTTGAATATCTGCATTATGCATCAGCAAAAATAAAGTTATGGTTGGTTAATCTCCAATGATTATTGTACTGACTCATGAATAAGATTATTGGAGAGTTGCAGCACAAGGATGGAGTTTAATATTCTTCATAATGCATTTATTTCCTCCTCCATTCTGAACAACAGAACAAAAAAACACATTTGTTAAATACACAAAATCAATCTGCCCGTATAAATGTGTGTAAGTAATGTTGTTCTTTCTTCCAAGGGCAGCTATCAAGATTTGCACTAGCTGTTGACAGTTGTACCCTTGCGCTAACACACACACACTCATATATCAATGTCGTTAATGTTGGGGACGCGGCCACAACATTTTTATTTATGTGACATTTGCAACAGGCATTTAGCACATCAGTGCACTGTAGGACACGAGGGAGGGTGAGCCGGCACATATTTCAACCTCCTCTGTATTCTAACTGAACTCAGTTTATCTGGTGCCACTATAAACGCCAAGCCAAGATATGCTGGCACTGCCCTTGGCACACAAACATAACACTTCTCTTTGTTTCACATATACTGCATCAAATATGTGCAAGCGAAGCAGGAGTGTAACAGCAATTTTCTGAGGTAAACAGAGCTGACTTATGTGAATAAAGCACTAAAATAAGCCTAATTTACATAGAAAGGTGTGTTGAATGACAATGACTTAAAGGGATAGTTTGCCAAAAATAAAATTGTCATCATTTACTCACCCTCATGTCGTTCTAAACCTGTACATTTTTCTCAAGAAGACATTCTGTTTGTTTTTTTGTCCATACAATGTAAGTCAACTGGGTTGTTTTGAACCCCCACTGACTTAAATTGTATGGACAAAAACATTTCTTTAAAATATCCTCTTTTGTGTCCCACAGAAGAAAGAAAGTCATACAAATACAGTGCAATAAATCAGTGCAGACGGTGCCTGGTTAAACTGGATTACAGGAGGATAAGACACAAGTTTGTGAAAAAGATCAGAGTTTTTGGGCTGAAATGCATAAGTGGATCAAATATTTAATGAATTTGTTCTTGAGTATTTAATTTTAATAATGAAAATGGTTATCATGAGACGGCCACTGATAATTATTAGTATTAGTAATGAGCTATTTTCTGTCCAGTTTTTAACCTCCCTGATCAGAACACTCTGTTTGAATAGGTGTGGTAAGTTCCGAGTCGATTGAATAGATTCGGAAGTAAATGCCCACTGCTATGATTGGTTTGTTTGACAGTCTACGTCCTTCACAGACTGACGCTGCTGTGATTTAGGTCAAAAACACATAAATAACTCAATACATATCAAACGATCTGTAAGAAGAGACAAAGCAATAGTGATCACGTAATAATAAAAGTTACTCACACTTGTGTTGCAACATGACTGTCAGATCCAATTTAGTCGGCACAGCATTGTCTTTTAGTTTCAATCTTTTTGAAAAACCCACGTCAAATTGCGCCTTGTTTGTAAACGAATCCGTGGTAAAATGAAATGAACAAAGGACCAAGGTCTTACTGATGCGGTCTGAAACATTAAAAATAAAGTTCATTCAGCCTTTCCTAACTTTGGGATCAGAAAGAAGGCGACGCAAACACTGTTTTCCCACAACTTGGCACTGCACAGTGTCTTCTTGTCTTCAGAGCATCTTTATCGCTTGGTTTCTGCATACACCTGCGCGTTCGCCTCTCTCGTAAACACTACATGCGTGAATGCATGGATAGGGCTAAACCAGCAGTGATGTAGAAGCAGGCGCTGATCTTCCTTCGTGGAGGCAGTGTTTAGCCACACTATTACATCATAGAGTAGAACATTCCACAAGCTGTCGCTTTGGCAGACTGGCTTCAATATAAGCTGTTTTTAGACTAACGAGAAAGTTTTGAATTCTGAAACTTACCGGATGTTTTTATAACAGAGTGACTTCTTATATGTCAAAAGATCAAGGGAATTTTGGTTTCTCGGTTCATGACCCCTTTAAGTAAGCATGAGATGTAACGTCTAAGTAAAAGAACTCCTTAACTTAAAAGTGCTAATTGTTTTGAATGTCAAGGTAACCTCCTTACAGAACCATCAGCATTTCATGGCAATACTTGGATATCAAACAAACAATATTAAATATAGGCTCACAAGCCAGAGGCTAATTGTGATATCCAAGATATAAACAGCATGACTTAATTTCCAACTGCTATTTCAAGGACTATTACATGTTTTGTACCCCAAATGACACCGTGATGTGGCTTGCAGATTGTCATGTATGTGTGTTAGGTCACTTACGTGTGCCAGTCGGTCAAAGCGTGCAAAGAGTTCGTTGAGCATTCGTACGAGTTCCTGAGCGGAGAGTGTGGTGGAAAGATTGGTGAAGCCCTTCACATCAGCAAAGAGAATACTGCACAAAACACACATGCACATAAATCAGCCAGAAAAAAAATCACATTTTCAACATTTTAAAGCCGATCAGTGAATTTTAAAGTGAGATAAAAAGGCAAAACTTCATAAAAATACAATTATACAGCTAATTGTACTGATAAGTTTAAATATACTAGCTATGCAAGATACACTATTATTTTTTTTTTATTAATTAAATTGATCAAAAGTGACAGTAAAAGCATTCATAATGTTACAAAAGATATCTATCTCAGATAAATACTGTTCTTTTGAACTTTCAGTTTATCCCAAAAAAATCACAGCTTCAGCAAAAATGTCAAGCTGTACAATTGTTTTTAACATTGATAATAATGAGAAATGTTTCCTGATCACCAGATCAGCATATTGCCTGATTGATTTCTGAAGGATCATGTGACACTGAAGACTGATAATTTGCCATAACAGGAATAAAGTCTATTTAAAATACAGTAAAATAGAAAACAGTAGTTTAAATTAAGTAAAAACTCACTGTTTTTACTGTATTTCTGATCAAATAAATGCAACCTTGGTAAGCAAGTGATGCTTTTCAAACATTAAAAAAATCTTACTGACTCTAAACATTTGAACAGTAGTGTACCTACACAAATAACAAACAGATTACAGAAATTATGCTGTGGAACATGCCATTTGCATACATTTCTATAGGAAGGGATTTCGTGTTAAGAACAGATTAATTGACATTAATTTTATTTTTTTTATGACAGTACATGTATTCTGTCTGTGATCACTCTGAATACATTTATGTTATTACATATATGTGACCATGGACCACAAAACCAGTCATAAGGGTCAATTTTTTGAAATTGAGATTTATGCATCATCTGAAAGCTGAATAAATCAGCTTTCCATTGATGTATGGTTCAATGGATTGTTGATGTATGATTGTTAGGATAGGACAATATTTGGCTGAGATACAACTATTTGAAAATCTGGAATCTGAGGGTGCAAAAAAAATCAAAATATTGAGAAAATCGCCTTTAAAGCTGTCCAAATGAAGTTCTTACCAATGCATATTACTAATAAAAAATTAAGTTTTAATATATTTACAATAGGAAATTTACAAAATATCTTCATGGAACATTATCCTAATGATTTTTGCCATAAAAAAATTGATAATTTTGACCCATACAATGTATTTGGCTATTGCTACAAATTTACCCCAGCGACTTAAGACTGGTTTTGTGGTCCAGGGTCACATATATTATATAAAACAATTTAGTAAATAGTGTAAAAATAAGGGTAAGCCATTAAAAATGGCTAAAATGGCTTCATTTAGGCTCAAATGGCCATGGACCGGCATTTTTAGGGCCTAGTTGGTGCTCTTATGGTGACTGACTGTGCTTTACTGAGCTACTTGTTTGGGTTATAAAAGAGAGTGACTCAGCCATAATCAAGGAAGACTGAGTCATAACAGCGGGTGACTGAGCCGGAATGGTGGGTGACCGAGCCTTAATGGTGGATGACTGATTCAATTCCATTTGACTCTCTTCTATTCTATTCATGATGACTGTACCACAATGGAATAAATTACCTCACGTTCTCATAGCGGTGAATGTAGATACGGTGAAACTGGTGCTGTAGGGTCTCGTCCTCCACGTTGGTCATGTCATTAATCATCTCCAGCACTACGAAGCGTGGCAGCACCGACAAGACCAGACGCTCCTAACACAGGTGCAGCATGGGTAATGTGCTTCATTAAACATGGACTTAAATCATTCAGTCACTGAATGCACACTTACACAAACAAAAATATAATTTTCATATTATACACATCAATTCCCTTTGAGTTTCAACCTGTTTACCAATTCAACTAGTTTACCAGTCTTACTTTTAAACTACTTCCAAATGACAAGGTAGAATTTCATTAGGAAACAGTTTTTTGCATTATTTTATTATTTAACCCAACACATTACAATGTGATACAGTTTCCTTTTACTGCAATAACAGCTTCAAGTCATTTTTATCCAGTGTTAGTTCCCTTAATGGTTCACCAGTCAATCAAATAACCCCAGGCGTCCAGCACACAGGGCTAAATATAAATGCATAACAGTGTCTAACATAATTTCCCAAAAATTTAAATGTATTTATAATTCAGTACAATGTGCTTTTACAAAACACTGCATAGAACATATGTCTGCCAAATACATTAAAGCTGAAGTGTGTAATTTTTTCATAACTAAAAGTAATTGCAAAAAAATATTTTTTCAAACAGATTTGACAAACAGTTCCCAGTTTTCCGTTGGTTGGACTCGAAAACAATGCCATTGGTTGAGCCAATATTGTGCTGTTGGGCTGGTCAGATGCATAAAGAAACAGCAATCACAGCGTTTACACTTTTCATGGGAAATATGACTAACAGCTGCCTCTCCACATTAGTTTGGCTGAGGTAGGAGAAAGTATTTTCAAATATCAAAAAATTTCACACCTCAGCTATAATTGACCTTTGTGACGCTGCATGGATAAAGAGCAGGCACTGCAAATTTGCATTCAACAAGCCAGAGTTTGTACTCTCACCACTGGCTGGGCTAAAAGCAGGGGAAATTTGGATAGATGGACATACAAAAGAAGAGGAAATGCAAGCGCACACACACACACACACAGTGGTACCAGCACGGGCTCCACTTGACTGGCAAATAAAACCCACTTCAGCAAACAGCCGGAGAGCTCTCAGAGAAAGAGATGGGTGGGGGGAGACGGAGAGAGATTCCCTAAGGAGTCTCGGAACCTTTCTACACTAGCCTTCTCTCCCCATGAGATGCTGTACTCATCTTTAAATCAATTACTCTCACCCATTGCGGCCCATTGCTGGTGAAGGAGTGTGATATAGCAACATTACGTTTGTGCATGAGTGTGCAAACACTTTTAAAAGGTTGGGGTCAGTCAGATTTGTTTGGAAAGGAACTGAATATTTTTCCTCAGCAAGAAGGTATTAAACTGATCAAAAGTGACAGTACATTTATACTGTTACAAAAGATTTCTATTTCAAATAAATGTTGTTCCTTTGAGCTATCTTTCTCAAAGAATCCTGAAAAAATGTATTACATGTTCAATAAAAAAAAATCAGGCAGCACAACTGTTTTTACATTGATAATAATAAATGTTTTTTATCAGTGAGGATCATGACTGAATACTGGAGTAATGGCTGCTGAAAATTCAGCTTTGCTATCACAGAAATAAATTACATTTTTAAATACACTCAAAAAGAAATTTTAAACGATAATAATATTTTACAATATTACTGTTTTTGTATTTGTAATCAAATAAATGAAGCCTTGTTGAGCAAAAGAGACTTATTTCAAAAACATTGAAATAATCGTACCAACCCCAAACTTTTGAACGTCAGTTGTACGTGTACAGAACTGTCTTTTTTTTAAAACTTTTCTTTGTGTAGTGTTGTACAACCATTCACCATAAACAAAAAAAAATACCATGGAAACCACAGTTTCTGACAAAACGCCCAATGCAATGATGGCTATACTGTAAAATCATAATAATAGTTGAATTTCTTTTTTTGATGGCAGTGGCCAATGCAATGCTAATGTAAAACAGAATTCAAGCAAATTCATAGCACAAACTTATACAATTATTTATTTAAATTTAAAAACAGAAACGGTTTACCCTTCACTGACAAAGCTGCTGGCAGAATATTTCTCTTAATTGATCAAAAACACAGTTAACAAAATTGTCAAATATTGGCTGATTAATTGGTCTGTATGACAGATACATGTCTATCACTAGGAGTAATTGGTATTTTGCCAGAAAGTATGGTTAGCATTGCAATTTGTTGAAGATGTTATTTGGTTTACCACACGTACAGTATACTTACACTTCCTGGAAACATCCTGAAGCACATGAGCCACAAACACGTTTACACGTGTCACGCAACTGTGTGTGAAGGAAATGTTTAAAGTTTGCGAACACTAACCTGTCGCTGGTTCTCGGTCTCCAGGCGGAGACGTGCCTCGATGCACCTGCGTGTCTCCAGAAAGGCCTGTCGCTGGGCGCGGTCTGACAGGTAGCTGATAAACATCCCTGCAGTGTTTATACATAAGAACAGCAGCACCTGAGCTAACAGCTGAAGAGAAAGAAAAGAAAAACAGAGAATTTTACCAACCTTAAGCAATTAGAGTGATAACTGCAAGTGAAACTACTCTACATCCATTTATCAGCTGTATATGACCATATGTGGAATTTTACACTGGAAACTCAAACACAAAAACAGCATAAACAGTGTCCAAAAGTCATATTTTGAAACATGAGCTAATGGCGAGTGAATTAAAAACATTTTCCAGCAATAAATTTGAAACAGTATCTTGAATATTTACTAAAAATATATTTTTGGCATTACGACAATGGGATAATTTTGCTGTTTGCTGTTCATTGTCACTGCCAGCATTATCGTGACTCAAACAAGCAGAGAAAGAATGATTTTGTCCCTCATGTTTTAATTTTGGTGGATTAATGTAAAGAATATTTCCTCATTTAGCAGATACCAGCCACTGCCAAGTAAGTTTATTTACTCGCCAAAGGCTTTTTTTTCTTTTGCATTTGGCAAGTGTAAATTTTAGACCCTGAGCATAAGCATACAAGAGAAAATTACTTAAATGCTTATTTTAATTTAAATGCAATACCATTCTCTAGGAGACAGAAGCTAAATGTCATCTTTCTCTCTATTTCACACAAACACACACAGAGACACACATGTGCATACATAATTGCACATTAATGTGAAATTAATAAATGTCAGTCATATACTGGAGGCAGAGTACAACATTTTACAGTTAATAAGCATGCTATCATTTTAAATGTACTCATTTAAAAGCAAAAGCAAAGAGGTTTTAAAAAAACTGTGTCTTTTGTGTTCGCTTTTCAGGTCCAATTATTTAACTGTTAACTGTGTCACTGTTTAGATTCATAAATTCATAATTCAAACTTCATACACACTGTGATTTTCTTATGATAAATCTGTTAAAATATTTTGAGTCTATATAAAGCTAAAACCATGCTGATTTTCCATTGCTGTTTTTTGCCTTTCTTGCATATCTTATGTACAACTACATTAGAACTGAACAAACAAAATCATATTTACAAACACGTCACTTACTTCAAGTGATTTGCATGTTTTAGCTTAAAAAAAAACATGAATTAGCCTTTAGGCAACAGCTTAGCTGTTCTCCTACCATGCATTTCCAATTGCTTTCCATTTTCTGATTGGCTTATTACAACCCAGTAGAAACCAAGCAAACAAAACAAACGACTCATCCATATGGAGTCAAAATAATGCCACATATATATGCAAAATAATAAAGTTTTGCAAAAGAAAATAAAGTTTTGCAAAAGAAAATAAAGTTTTGCAAACGAAAATAAAGTTTTGCAAATGAAAATAAAAGTATTGAGAAAAAATAAATGTGTTTTTGCAAACAAAAATAAAGAATTGCAAAATATAAATGAAACAGCACAAAAGCAATGATTTTGCAATACATATTTTCCATGGCCATATCTACTAATTTATTTGCAACGCTGCTTTTATTTTGCGTTTCAGTCAAGTTTGAGCTTGCGATACCGTTTTGCCAGAAAGCGAGACGCGCAGAAACGTGAAGCGCAAAGGGAAAACGGTATCGCAAGCTCAAACTTGACTGAAACGCAAAATAAAAGCAGCGTTGCAAATAAATTAGTAGATATGGCCATGGAAAATATGTATTGCAAAATCATTGCTTTTGTGCTGTTTCATTTATATTTTGCAATTCTTTATTTTTGTTTGCAAAACTTCTTTTTTTCTCGCAATACTTCATTTTCTTTTGCAATTCTTTATTTTTGTTTGCAAAAACGCTTTTATTTTCGTTTGAAAAACTTTATTTTCTTTTGCAAAACTTTATTATTTTGCATATATATGTGGCATTATTTTGACTCCATACATCCAGCCCATCCACTAGGGGGAGTCACAGAGGTCAGAGAAAATTGGGGATTGATGCCAAATTGACTCATAAACACAACATGTTTAAGTTATTGAATCTGGATTAAACCTGTTAGCCCTCTGAAATTAATAAGATATCAAATATACTGACTTTCTAATAAATGTAGACACATTTTCATATAAGACTGACAGTTAGGCCACAAAAAAAAAAACATGAATAAAGCCTTCCACAATTGTAATCTTCAGAATGATTGGCTGGCTGCTAAGAAATTTCCAGGGCTCAACAGAGTGAATATATTGTATTTACAAGGTACAATAAGTGTCTAATTAGGCAGTTTTGATTTTATATTAAGACTATATACAGTCACCAACAACATAAGATACACTCTTTCTGTTTTTCCAGTAAAGTAGCCACCGAGGCATAGCAAATATGTTATATACACAGAGGTGCCTATTTATATTTAGACATGGGAACAAACACTGTTAGTTTACTGCATTTGGAACATATACTGTCATGCCTCTCGGAGGAATCCAAAAATACACACGTTTTACCAAACATGTCTTGAAATCTCCAGAGAGTATGATGTAACCACCTGCAATAATTAACACTCTAAACAATCACTGCAGAAACATGTTTAAGCATGTCTCTGCACCTATTACTACAAAAGCCTCATAGGCATTTGTGTGTGCGCGTTTATGTGTGTGCGTCGGTGAGACACATCCCTCATGGGAATATAAATTTTATGACTGATTAACGAGCCCCCCATCCTTTACAGTTTCAATTACATCAGTTTTTTTGTCCCATGGGGGCATTAAAGGGCTGCCATTTCAGACAGAGGCCCTAATTAATACAACCCCTCCAGTACACACACACATACTGTACACAGTACACACACACACACACACACACAGCAGAATTAATGCAGTAAACATCATCAACATTCAAGAATCAAGCTAGCATGAAAATTGACTAAAATATGACTTTTAATAATTGTAATCTTTGCTGTTTGTAATTGTAAATGATATTTACAAACACATAAACAACACCAGCATGAACTTTAGCAATGTGTGTGAAATAATATACAATAGCACACACACAGAGGTCAGTGATGTGGACAGTTTTAATAGGAAAGCTCATTATTTCAGACTTTTTCTATTCAAATCACTGACCTTAAAAAACATCATCTCACATTGCACAAATCCCTCTCCACATATGAAAACATGAACAGCCTACAGACTAATGAAGATGAGTCTTTGTGCATTTCTTAGAATATTACTCTTAACCAATAACCATATAGATGGTCAGTTACTCTTTTTAGCTTTACATTTATCTACAGATAAGGTAATTTTCCCTGTGTCGTTTTAAATCAGTTCCCCACAGGTGTAGTTCATCACAGTAATTATGGCTATGATGATCCACTAATATTTAACAAACAGAAAGTGTCAATAATTTTGAACAATGTATATTTAAACATAAGAAATATCTGTTTGTGAAATGTTTTTGCATAAAACGTATGGAGGCCTGTTTCTGCTTTAGAATAAAAAAGGTAACTGTGACAAAGTTTAAAATAAACTTTTTTGTGAAGGTATAAAGTTTTTAAAGGGGTCATATGATGCTGCTAAAAAGAACATTATTTTGTGTATTTGGTGTAATGAAATGTGTTTATGCGGTTTAAAGTTCAAAAAACACATTATTTTCCACATACTGTACATTATTGTTTCTCCTCTATGCCCTGCCTTTTTGGAACGCATCGATTTTTACAAAGCTCATCGGTCTAAAGGAAAAATTGAAATCGCATCATATGACCCCTTTAAAGTTTTGTGAGGTATACTTATGAGAAAAGATCTAAATATTTGTGAGACATAAGACTCAATTATGAGAACTAGTCCCAACTGTTAGACACAAGGTCACAATTATAAGAAATACTCTCTAATGTGAGATATGGATTTGCAACTGTGAAATGTAAAGGTGCAATTATGAGAACAAAAGTCCCAATTGTAAGATATCAAATCCAAAATGTTAGATGTAAAGTTGCAATTATGAGAAACAGTCCCAATTGTGAGATATAAAGGCGAAAGTACAAGAACAGGTTTCTACAGAAAATAGTGCTTCTGCTACCTTTATTTAAAATAAATGCCATTTGAATTGGCATTTTACTTATGAAATTACATAAATTTCTATGTGCAGCATAAATATGAAAATATGTTTTGGGGCCACTGTACATTTCATACAGAGTGTGTGTGTGTGTGTGTGTGTGTGTGTGTGTGTGTGTCCATCAGCTAAACACAGCAGGAGAATTAACAGAACAAATCTGACTGTACAGTTAAATCACTGACTTTTAAATTAATGCTTCAAAGCAGACACGCACACACAAACACAGTGCACTTCAACTACAGTCTTTAACACCATAATTATCTCAGCAAAGTACAGTGATATCCATCAGCATGCAGCAGAAATCGTTAAGAGTGACTGGCTCCCATTGACTGCAGCAAATAAAAAAAAATCAAAATAACTGCATAGTAGATTGTAGACCAACAGATCTAATCAAACTGTTAATATCAACATTGTACTCCAGTCAGAGAGTCTTCACCATGCTGAGGAGCCGAACTGAGATTTAATCAACACTCCATTTTATTACTGGGGTTGATTACAGTTGTAAAATGCTGCCTCTGAGATTTCCAATAGATGGGCTGCTGTCCACTGATAATTCAGCCGGTGAGCAGAAACATTATAATGCCCAACTGATAAACTTTGAAATTTGACTTTAAGTAATGTGCTGCAGCCAGTCTCCATGGAGCATCTAAGCAGATGCACTTTGGGAATAACTGTATTTTCAGTGTCGCTCGCTGTAGCTCTCTGTAGATCTGATGTTGAAGGAACAGTTCACCCAAAAATTAAAATTTGCTGAAAGTTTTCTCACCCTCAGATGACTCCAGTCCATCAATTAACGCCTTGTGAAGTGAAAAGCTGTGTGTTTGTATGAAACAGATGCATCATTAAGGCATTTGAAGTTTAAACTTTCACTTCTATACAAAACGTGTGTCCATAATCCATAATATTGCTTCCTACAGCAAACTTGTTGTCCAGCCCTTGTTGTCATCTCACATCCAAATCCACTTGTTTAGAACTGTTTGGTACTATTTCCACTTGCTTGATCTGTGCATATTTCTCTCCCGATACAGATGAGATGACATTTTCAATCAATATAAAAAAATATATATAAATATAAAAATAAATTGATTGGAAAAATCAATATTATGGATAGAGGTCTCATATTTTAGCCATGAAGCAATGGTTTTAAGTTCAAAATGTCTTAATAATGGATTTATTTATTACAAACACAGATTTCTGATTCATAAGACATTAACTAATATACTGGAATCATGTTTTTTCCAGTTGTTTGGACTCTCATTATGATGGCACCTATTCACTGCAAAGGATCCATTGGTGAGCAAGTGATGTAATGCTAAATTTCTCTAAATCTGTTCTTAGATGTGAGGTGTGTTTGAGTAAACTAATAGCAAATTTTCATTTTTGGATGAACTATTCCTTTAAACCCCACAACCTTTTCCCCTGACAGCCAAGACCTTTAAGTGCGATACAGAAGACTCGTTGCACCTAGAGCACTTTTACTAATTTTATTCCCAGCACTTTTCACCGATGCGGTCAGGGTTAATCACAATCTATTTTAAATGACTGTAATGGTCAGAGTAGGTGCTGTATTTATTTTGATTATTCAGTCAGTTTAATATTTTGGTGTTTTTATTCCACTGGCAATTTACTGAGAGATGTATTTTTATAAGGTTACTAACTGACACCCAATTACACAACAGCATTTTGGTCAGTTGTTGATATTATTATATTAAAATTTAAAATTAAAATTTAGATTCAAAACAGTATTTAGATTCATTTTGAACTGTAGAGTCTACTTTTATCCATCACAGTCTCATTGTTGTGTCATATTAAATATTACGGAGCTCTATTATGAAGCCAAAAACTCAAAACTGCATTTCCATTCTGGCTTTCTGCCATTTCTTTAATGTAAAACCAGGACTATCCAGCTTTCTCGCTGGAAGCTGTTGAGGTCTGTCTCAGACATTTTCCCTAATCAAACCTGATGCATTGGACCGTTACCTACTAATCCAGACCGTGTTGCCCTCTACAGTGTAATACTAATCTCAGGACAACTTTACACTGTCATTGTTAGCAGCAGCCGATTGTTCTGAAGGTTTTGATTACACGGCAGGACCATCTACAGTGTCAGCGATCAAGTGCTAGATTGAAAAATACATTATTAATCACTCAGGCATAAAAACTTTTAATTGACCAGGCACCCTGCTGTTATTGATCTCTGTACATGTGTGAAAATCTCCATGAGCAAAATGGACCATAAATGTGTTCTGTGTGTGCTCACCGTACACATAAAGTGTGTACAGTATAGTTTCTGCACGTACCACTGGATACTGTGTCATAGGCTTTGCTAGACCCCATTTATTTAATCTAATCCCCCCCCAAATCTGTACCGAATTCAGCCTTCTTAAAAATATATGACCTCTCTCTTCACGTTTGCTGAAAACAGCAGCTTCAGCAAGCTGTCTGAAGTTATTTCACTCTGAATCCTTCCCTTAAATTAAACTTTGTTATATTAAATATCATCTTTCCCTCAAGTCAATGGCAGATCACGGCATATGTAGGGCAGCAATGTTCGGCACGGAGCGCTGCCCGCCCCCACAAACAGTGCTCTACTTCTCTGTTCCACAAAACAAAATGCAACAAGAGATGCTTCCTTTAGCTATATAAAAAATATTTGCACATATATTTTGGACCCTTATGTCACACTTAAAGTCTGGATTTCATTGCATTAGATACAAAATATTGAACCAAGTCATATCTGCAAACAAATGATGCTAGAGCTTTTCTCTGAACTAACACCACATTTTTTTAGATGTTTTTAATTATTTTTAACCAATTTCTCTCAAGGGCATTTTTAGTGGATGAAGTCAGCTGGTGAATTTAATTGTATTAACAATATACTATAATAATAACATGTATACTATACTAATGACACGTACCAGTAAGTGTCTAAGACTTCTTGTCTCAATTATGAATTATTAATATTTATCTTGTTGCTACATTTATTTAAAAATATTCCACTTGCTTATATGTATATATATAAACCACTGTTAAAATGTTTGGGGACAGTAAGTGTCACGGTCCAGGTGTGTGAGCGACAACAAGGCAGATTCTGGTAGAGGAGACACACACACACTCAGAGTAACATTCACAATAACCGACAAACTAGACTACAGGAGGCAGGAACTAATATAGGGTGGATAACGAGGGGCAGACAGGTGAGCACAATCAAGGTAATTAACTAATAATGAGGACAGGAACAACCAAAAAAGGACACAGGGGCGTTACAGTAAGATTTTTTTTTACATTAATTAATACTTTTATTCAGCAAGGATGCATTAATTTGAACAAAAGTGACAGTAAAGACATTTATAATGTTATTTTTATATTTTGAGTTTCCACAAAAATATTAAACAACTGTTTTCAACATTGATAATAATAAGAAAATCCAGCTTTACAATCACAGAAATAAATTAAATTTTAAAATATTTTCAAATAGAAAACAATGATTTTAAATTGTAATAATATTTCACAATATTACTGTTTTACTGTATTGTTGATCAAATAAATACAGCCTTGCAGTGAGTACAGAAGACTTAAAACATTTTTTAAATCTTACTAACATGAGATATATATATGTATGTGTGGGTGTATTTATTGCCAGTCAAGCAAGATTTGAACTCGCAACCTCTCGTACTGAAAGCAGGAAATACTCTTCTGACCCACATCATCACCCTGCACTTTGTCTATCGACAATCTGTCCTACTGCACGCAACACTCTCACACTAGTCTGGTGGAGTTTGTGAAGTGCCTTATAAATGATTGATGGAGGCCCTGCATGAGTTTCCATAAACCCAGAGGAAGCACAAGAAAGCAAGCGCATGCTTACTGACGTCCATCTTACCCAGGCACTGACAACATTCTACATACATAGCACTAAACACCGAAGCAGGTGTGCGGTCAGGTCTGAGGGTGTGTGTGTGTGAGCGTGTCCTGCAGTAAGAGCAAAGGAGATGGAAACAGAGATGGGAAACAAGGAGATGCTGGCAGACAAGTGTGTGAGTCAGAGAGCCCTTCTCCATATCTCCCTCCCACGCTTGCTATTTTTACAGTCTACCTCACAGCATCTTCGACCACTGCTTGGACACACACAGACACACACATTTTTGGGTCTGATTGGCTGAGTTTGGCTATTTTGACCTGAATCTGCATACAGACATCTGGATCTGGCCTGAATCTGTGTGTGAAAGGACACCAAACAACTCTGTCTGTCTGCCTCTCTCTGCTGTGATCACAGTGAATAATTTTTGCACACTATAATTAACTCGCACGGCTTCCTGTCTCCTCACTGTTGCTTGTGTCTGTGCGCTTGTTTTTGTGTACAGCACATTCGCTTGTTTGTGTACAGCGTGTGTGTGTGTGTGCAGGTGAAAGACACAAAATAACTGTAGTGCCACTATGACTCAATTTAAATGTGATATGATCACATGTGGAGTGGCATGACCTCAGGTCATCTTGTCATTTAGAATATCTTAGCATCTGACAGAGAGAAAAAGAGGCTTTGCTGATCGGTATACAAACACATGCAACCGTGTCAATGCAATGTATAAGGGATAGTTCACCTTAAAATTTAAATCATGTTGACCAAAACCTGTATGAACACTGTGGAACACAAAAGAAGAAATTTTGAAGAACACTGGTGTCCAGACTACTTTGAACCCCATTGACTTTCAATGTAAAGACAAAAAGACATTTTTCAAAATATCTTTCATGTTCCACATGAAGTAAACGATGTATGTGTTTTTCATTTTGGGTGAACCATTCCTTTAATTCTCGCATATTTTTGTAATTTTCGTTTTTGTAAATATACACAATTCGTTTTGCAAATATGTCTTTATAAATATATTGGAAGAGCTCATAATGCTCAAGCTCTCCTCAGATGTTATTGAAATGTGTAACTGACTGCAGTGCTCTAATATGACTGCTTTGCCGCATTCACGAGCTCTTCTTGACCTTTACTGACCTCTATAAAATTTAAACCGCAAAACAAGCCATCAGTATCAGACAGAACAGCACGACTCAGTCTGCAAAGAACGACCTTATAATGTTACTTTCAGCACCACGTTGGATGGACAGCGACCGTTGCGCATTGGTTAAATGCCTCGAGCGCTGAAAACATCCAGTGTTGCACCCAAACTTGGCATGATGCAATATCGCACATTTCTCTGTCTCACCTGATTCGTGGAGATCTGTGCTCGAGGGGGCACCAGCAGCTGTATCGCGATGTGCAGCGCGGAGGTCAGCAGTCCCGCCACGATGGCCCAGGTGAGAGGCAGCGGCAGCATGCTGTAGGTGGCAAAGAGCGTGAAGAGCACGTACCCTATCCCATCCCCGAGCAAACCGTAGCCCAGTCCCGTCGCGAGGATCTGCGTGGCCATGGCGACCCAGGTCACCGCGCCGCTGTACTGCAGGTAACCGTGCGAGCTCGTGTCCTTGCGCACCACCACCAGTGCACAGATGACCACCTCGATGCCCGTGAAGAAGCCGAGCAGCATTCCTTTGATCGGGTCCATCGGCGTGGACGCCAGGGTCAGGTGCAGCACGAGCAGGGTCAGCTTGGTCACCACGTCCAGAATGTTCATGACCACCACCGACTTCCGTCGCTGGCCCAGGAAGTAGCGCTGGTACAGGCGCTCGAGGTCCCTGGACTTGAAGGCGTAGCGCAGCGTGGGAAAGATGACCCCGCGGTACGTGTAGCCCCAGCTAAGAAAGAAGTCGGAGTTGCTGGGCGCGCAGTCGATCTGCAGGAAACCCAGGTCGCTGCTCGAGCGCTCGGGGAAGACTTTAGTGCCGCCGTTGTTGTGCCGGTCGCTAACCGACGTCCTGCCGGCGGACTGTTTGCGCGAGCCCTGCGCGTGAGGCTCGTCCGGTGAGACGGGTTTAGGGCTGTGCTCGTGAATGAAGCGCTGCTCGGTGATGTGCCGCACAGCGTTCTGCCACAGCAGGCGCTTCGGTCGGTTCCCGTTGTTGTTGCTGGGGGTCTTGTTGATGGTGTACAGCTCCTCGCTCGCGCTGGAACAGCGAACCTCAGACAACTCCATTGTTCCCAACGCGGTTCTATTTACCCACGCGCGTTCCTAGAACAGAAACAGCGAAGACGAGCAGGTGTGTGCGATTAAGAGTGAAGGCGAACCGAACGGAGAGTGGAGAACGCATCGGGACAAGCAGACTGGTCCCACGGCAGCTGCCGCTCATCATCATACGCCTTGTCCTCCGCGAACGTCAGAGCGATTCGGTCGCGCTGGCTCGTGCCATTTGGCTGCGCAGCGCTACAGCATGGCATGCGCCCGCTGGCGTGCTGAAAAACAGCGCATCTTAACGCGGTCTGAAGAAGAAAATGCCCCCCGTTGTCTGCGCTGCTGCAGAAGGTCTTGGTGTGGCTTTTTTCTCTTTAACGTAACCAGAGTGCACATACAAGAATGTTAAGGAGTCCTTTCCACAACGCCATTCCGCGGTACAGTCCGGTCTTTTACAACATGTGCGTCTTCTGTGGTATGTTTTCCCCTCAAGAACTGTCTCCAGGAATCGTTCTCATATCCAGAGGTGAGGTTTAGGGTTGGAGGGGTGTCGAGAAGACCTTCCTCTTTGTCAGTTTTGGGTGGTCTCGGATAGCAGAACCGGTCGCGAAGGATATGGAGAGCTGAAATCCAAGAATAATATCTCATAAAACAAACAAACAAGCAAGCAAGCAAGCATAAACAACAGAAACGTTTGCATCAGTCAGTGATGATTCAGAAGGCTTCTGTGATGTTATACAGAAGCATTCAATGCGTCCGCGCTCATCTGGTGGAGATGGTATTTACACTGAGCGAAAGAGAGAGAGGAGGAGGAGTGTGTGTGTGTGTGTGTGTGTGTGTGTGACTGAGACTTCCCGACGTCACGAGCTCCTTGCCTCTTTTTCCTCCCCCTGCCCAGCTTTTGTTACATTTTGTTGTTTGTTTTCTGCTGTGCCTTTATAATTGGTACCCTCAATAGTTGGAATCAAAACAGAAACATTTACATTTGTACTAATTTAGGCCTATTAATTTAATTAAAAAGTAGGCTATAGGCTACCAAGCGCTTCAGACACAAGTTTTTTATCTATTAGTTTCAGTTAACTAATTTATTTAGGCTATTTCTTTTAATTTCGTAAGTTGCATTATGCATCGTTTATAAATTTTTATTTACATTTTGATGTTATTTATTTTTGTTCCTAATTGTCCTCGATCCATTTCCCAACAGTACAATATCCGTCTAACTGCCGTCGTTTTCAATAAGAAAGCGCGACTTGTCTGGTAAAAATGGCGGTAAAACAAAAAACGAAAAACTCAAATATTATTAAAGTTATATTGCAATTGGCTTTTATCCTTTTTATCGAATTTGTCAGGATATTTTTAGCAACATAACACACTTAGCTCGAGTGCCGTTACGGTGACTCACCGGCTATTCGTCTTTTTCAAATATTTTACAGCGCGAGACACTAACAGCGGCTGATCAAAGCGGGTCGACAGCGCCTCGCGAGTGACTCATCACGTCCCACGCTCGCGCTGCCGGCTCTTTTTTTAACGGCTGTGGGATTGTAGGCTACCATACGACACCCAGTCTTTCCAGGAGTTTCTCTATGCGTTGCTCACTTCCTTACTTTTTCTGCTTGCTCTGAAAAAAAGAGGGATGATTAACTGCCACAGGAAACTCGCTCACCGGCTGCTCTGGGCCTCCGCATCACCCCGCTGTTACAATCATTCAGTTCATAAAAATCAATTAATCAAATCTAGCTGATAGGCTACTAGTCTACCTAAAAAAAGTGAATCAAGTCTACCTACAGTAATACCAGGGCTGGATCATCGTCCTGCAAAACCCCTTCTAACTCCTATCATCCCTAATGGCAGACCCTTTATCCGACTTGAAGCACAAGGGTGATTTGGCAAAATTCATGTAAACATTATATATATAACTGGGGGTCCTGGTCTAACAGTTCTGGTGCTGCACTGAATGCGACCCACAAAACAATCAAAACCATGACTCATTTTGAAATTGTTCACCTAAAGATAAAAATTCTATCATCCTACTCACCTTTATGTTGTTTCAAACCTTTGAGGAACACAAATGAAGAAGTTTATCAGAATGTTGATGCTTTACTCTACAATGAAAACACGCAGTGGAAGGCAATTAGCCTATCTAAGGTCCAAAGAGGACAAAAATACTGTAAAAGTATGATGAAACTAGAACAAACAACTCAGGCACCATATTACAAGTTATTTGAAGCCAAACGATAGCTTTGTTTGGAGGAACAGAAATGAATACACGCTTATGCATATTCAAATATGGCACACTGTGATCAGTTTTATGAGACCAATGGTGACGTCAAATCGGTGTCTTCGTGTGCCAAGTTTGAACATGCTCAATGTTCCTCAGAAGAAAACGTCAAAGGTTTGGAATGATAGGGGGAGTAAATGTTGACAGAATCTGTCCTTCCATTAAAGTTCTTCTGAGGTTTCTGTTGGCCAAACATCAAGTCACCATCAAACCAGTGTCTGATTTATCTTTATTTAGAACAATTACTTGGTCACATAAAAAAGTACTGTACACTACTGTTAAAAAGCTTAGGGTTGGTCAGATTTTTTAAGGCGGCATCTTGTGCTCATCAAGGCTGCATTTATTGTATCATAAATACAGTAAAAAGTAATATTGTAAAATATTATTATTACAATTTAGAATTTTTCTTTCCAAGTTTAATGTATTTTAAAAGTACTTTATTCCAGCAAAGCAGAATTTCCAGCAGCCATTACTTCAGCCACATGATCTTTCAGAATTTTTTTAAACATTTTTTTTATTTTTGGTGTTTTGCCTTTATTATGATAATAAGACAGTGGAGGGCAGACAGGAAGGAAGGTGGGAGAGAGAGAGTGGGGCGGGATTGGGAAAGGTCCTCAAGCTGGGATTCAAACTCGGGACGCCCGTAACGCAACGACATCATACGTCAGCGCACTTGCCCACTAGGCTATCGGTGCCAACATCCTTCAGAAATCTTTTTAATATGCAGATTTAATTCTCATAAAAACATTTCTTCATAGAAAACAGATGGCTTTGTTGCTTAATATTTTTGTGGAAACTACAGTACTTTTTAAAACGGAAATATTTTGTAATAATGTACCCTTGCGGAATAAAAGTAATAATTTCTTTCAAAAAAAAAAAAACTGCCCCAAACTTTTGCACTGTATATGTCGCATTGGAGATACCACATATATTCACATGCAGAGCTGAAGTCGTAGGTCTATGTTTTTCAGATATGAGGACTGCTGAAAAGATTTATTGTTAAGGACACACTATTACAAATACAATACATGAATCATGAACAAAACATGAGGAGCGGCATACACGTGTCTGAGGATGTCTTGCTGTATATGACAGCGTCCCTATGCGTTTGAATGCGGTTTGCATGTTGTGCAATCTGAGGTGGAGCCTGAGGAGGAGGTTACTGTCAGGATGAGTGACGTAAGCGGGCTGATTATACTGCTAATGATGTGAACTGAGGAACTGGTGAAGACATGAATGTAGACACAACGTCATTTGAGTGTTTATGCAAGAAAAGCATCACACGTTTGGGGAAGAATTAAATAAAACTGAGTCACGTTTTTCATGGTTAAGTCTGTGAATGCTGCTACTGTGCTGTTATAGACCAAAGCCTGTGTGTGAGTGCCTATTTGTACATTTTGGTGGTTCATTTGTTCTTGGTTTCCAATTAAAGTGTGACATTTGAGACGATCCCATTAAGGCGCAAGAGTCAGATCTCTTTCTCTCTTTCTCTCTTTCTCTCATTCTCTCGGTTTAGTTAAATGTGAATTAGATGAGAACAGGTCAACATCATGGCTTTTATCTCAAAATCAGAATATTAGACTGATTTTTGAAGGATCATGTGACACTGAAGACTGAAGTAATGATGCTGAAAATTTAGCTATGCATCACAGGAATAAATGACATTTTAAAACATATTCAAAGAGAAAAACGTTATTTTAAATTGAAATACCATTACTATATTTCTGATCAAATAAATGCAGCCTCAGTGAGACTTCTTTCAAAAAAAAAAAAAAAAACAGAAAACGCTAACAATTGTAATCATATTAAACAATATTAGTGTTTTTCTGAATATCTCATCAATTTTATCATCTTATCCATCTAAATGAGGACATAACAGTTAAAAACGTTCAGCATTTTTAGAATAAAAACCAATATAGTTTATTTTATAAATAATTTTTCCAATACATCTGGTTATCATATATTTCATAAGGTTCTGTGGTAAACAACACCTAGTGTTCAATTAAAAATTAAAACTCTGTCATCATTTATTCACCCTCATGTTGTTCCAAACTTGCATGATTTTCTATCTTTTGCAGAACACGCAAGTCCAAATCATAGATAAATAAAAACTCATTTCTCATAGAAAAAATGAAAGTCATACAGGTTTAGAGGCGAGTAAATGATGACCAAATTTTCAAAAACATTTTTGGTTAACTATCCCTTTAAGCTGCGGTCAAACTAGGCTTTGAGCATGTGAAATTACAAAACCCTGCAGCTTTTAAGTTTATGCAGAGGTTAATCTTTTATGTTTACAGTAGAAGCTCTATTCTCTCAAAAGTCTAGGTCAGAATCCACCAACTTGATTCTGGGTACTGAGGACGAAACTTTAAACATGTGCTTGCATTTACATACAGCATGTCTGACTGCAAGTGAATTAAGTACAAATTTGACTGTAAATGCAGTTTTATAAATCACTTTTGATATATAACAGCTGATTAATACCAGCATAATTTTAATGTGTGACCTTTTAAATGTGTCGCATGTAATTGAGTCATCAGTGTCCCTATGTTTCAAAGGCCCTTGCTAATGCAAGAATTCATGCTCATTAATTCACGTTGTAGGGAACTAGGGAGTGGAACGATCCACTCATTCTTCTCAAATTCACCTCACACACCTGTGCGTGTTAAAGTGTCTTGATTACAGCAATTATTGGCAGAGATCATGGCTCAATGCTAAGAAAGACATCACATGACACAGACCTCTCTCTCTTTGTCTGCCGCTCTCTCCTCCTCCATCAGGCCGTCTGGTGAATAAGTGACTGAGAAGATCAGGAAAAAGAGAGGCTGCTAAAACACACATCCAGACACAGCTCACACACTCACAACTGAAACACAGCGAAGAGGAAACCTTCACTAAAATAGCCATTGAAAAAAAGACATAGAAAATACATTAGCGCTTCTGCAGAAAAAGCATTACCACACACACACATACTGTGGCACTGAATGTTTGGGCTCAGATAGGCATGAAGGACATTCTATATTCAGCAGACACATTTGCGTAATTATAGAATCTCTGCCTGGAAAGACCAGGTGCTGCCTGTGTTAGGTGCTTAATTTGTGTTTATCATGGTCAGGGTGTTTAAAATTAAATGCTTGGTCATAGTTTAATTCACTCTCCTTAATGCCATTGTGTCTCTCTGGTTACACACATAAACACAAAACCCAACAAAGCAGCTTACCTTTTCACAAACCTTTATGAATTTGCTTGCAGGTAAAAGACCTTCATGTCTCTACCCCAAAAAACACAGGACAGCAGGAGGCAGTAGAGAGCAGCCATCCAAATCTCTCTCTCTCTCTCTCTCACACACACACACACACACACAATGATATAAAATTAAGTTATTTTTATACTGTACACACTTTACATTTGCTTTTCTGCGTATTTATACTCATCAAAAAAGTATGATTTAAAAGCTGTTTTTTAACAACAATTTTTATTTGTCAAACATTGGCAC